ATGATTTAATGTTTGTTTTAATATTTAGATCTTTAATTTATTTTGCATTTTAATTTAGTGCATAGTGAAAAATAGGGGTCCAGTTTTAATTGTTGGCATGTGCAGAGATGGTTTTTGCAGCACCATTTGTTAAAAAGGCAGTCTTTCTTCCAGTGAAAGTGTTTGGCACCTTTGTCAAAGGTAAGGTGACTTAACGTATCTGGAGTTGTTTTTGCATCTTCTAATCTGTTTCCCTGATCTTCAGGTCTGTTTTATTGCCAATCCACACTGTTTTTAATCACAGAGGTTTAAAGTATAATTTCAAGTCAGAGATTATGGTGCCCTTTGTTATGCCTTTGTTCCCTAGAATTGTCTTTGCTGTATTCTTCTGTTTCCAGATGAAGTTTAGTATCGTTTTCTCTAATTCTGTGAGATATGCTATTGGAAGTTTGATCAGAATTATATTAAATCTGTATAACATTTTTGAAAGTATTTAGGAATCTCTCCATTTCTTCTGTATTTTACATCTTATTAGAATACAAGTTTTCAAAGTAAGCTTTGATGATTTTCTAGATTTCTGCAGGATCTGTTGTTCCTAGGATGTCCACTCATTTATTGATAGACACTTAATTTGTACTGTTTCTTGATTATTGTGAATAATATTGTAGTGAACATAAGAATGCAAATGTCTCTCTGACTTACTATTTTTATTTCATTTGGATATATACTCAGTAATGGATTCCACTGGATCTCCTGGACTCTCCTGGAATTCTAATGGATATTCTGGATCACAGGGTTATTTTAATTTTTGCACATAGGTCCATGCTGTTTTCCATATGTCTGTCCTAATTTAAAATGTTCGATTCTTGTTCTCCACAGTTGCTAGCCCTCGTTATCCTTAGATTTTGGGTATTAGCCATTTTTGCTAGGGTGAGGTGAATTAGTTCATTGTGCTTTAGATGATGATATTTGATTTTTGAGGAAGAAAATTTCTCCTGTGTAACTTGCAGAATCTCCAGTAAGACATTCTAGAGCATGATGGGGGAAAGGTAGTCTTTTTTTCCTTTTGTTTAATGACTATATTTTATGTATCTTTACACTTTTGGTAGAGTTCTAGTTAAGGCTTTGTCCTCTGGTTGTGATCTTTTGTTTGTGATGAACCAGCTAAATGGATTGGGAAGCTGAGAAAGAAAAGCTTCATGAGTTCCTGTAGTCTCCTGGGTACATTAGTAACATTAGTAACTTAATCTCTTTTTCTGACTGGTGTTTGTATCATTTTTACCCTCACAGTCTACTTAGGCAGCTGCCTCAGATTCCATAATGGAGGAAAGATGATTATTTTAACTCTATGATGTTTAGTTGCATGTTTGGCAGGTGAGATAAATATTATGTGAAAAAAAATGTTCTGAATGAACAAAACGAGAAATTCATTGTTTTGTTGTTGGCTCCCTACAGAGAATGATAAATAAAGAACAGCTTAAATATTTTTGTGAAATGATCGCAGGACTCTTGTAGATGGCACTAAACAAAACAGGAAAGCATTGCTTTATTCTAAAAATATATTGAAATTCCATATTGGAATCACAGTATGATTTTTCAATGTTTGACAGTTTGCATATTCCTATTTCTAACCCCACTTCTGGCCAAAACCAGCTAAATTTAATTGAAATTCAAGTCAAACTAAGCTGTGAGTTTTGTCTCTTCCCAGTCTTTCTGTTTGTGCTGTAGGGGAAGTAGTTGGCTTATGATCAATTCTTTACCTTCTATGGCCATCATGAGCACTGTGGATGCTGTAGCTGTCGCTTCTGGAGAAGAATCAGCAGTGCTGTCCGCTGCTCAGTGCCAGCCATGGTTGCACTTTGACTGTAATAGCTGAGCCTTCAGTGTTAAGTGAAGCTGTGAAAAGTAGATCATAAAGTCATTTCATCTGAGCCAAAAGTTCTAAATTAAAAAGTGGAATGTAGTTTCCCTCCCCACATTTAAGATTGTGTGTTATGTTGTAACTAGAAAATTTGAAGATTTTTTCCCTCCAGAAAGACTATATTTCTAAAACAAATTTTTATGGATTAATATGCAAGTTCATTGGAATTGTTCATTTTAATTCTCATTTTTCTCATATTATAATTTGAGTTTTTTTTTTTTTTTTTTTTTTTTTTGGTCAACATCCCTTCACTTTGTCATCATAGCTATCAAAGGGTGTACAAAATTCCTTTTTTGGTAATACTAGCTTTAAATTTGTATGTTATTCACATACTAATCAGTACTTACTAGATGATTGTCTGTCAGTCTATATTTATCTATCTGTAGCTCACCAATGATGGTGACTATTTTAGAGCTTTCAGTGATAACAAACAGCCTGCTTTGGCATGTGTGCTATAGGTTCACCACCATACAATTTCTTATGACTTTCAGCTGATCAGAGATGTAAGATATATAGTCATATATAATTTTATAAGATCTTTTGACTTACCAAATTTAAATATTTTAATAAAATTGGAAAAGGAAAAGGGTAAAATGGCTTTATGAAAATGGAAATAGGTCTCAAAATAGTTTGATGGAGCTGTTTCAATTGTTGCTTCTACTTGATTAGTGTTTTAAAAAGTTCATTTCCATTGCAATTTGTAGCATAGAAATAAGCCACCATTTATTTAGTGAATACCTATTTCAATAAGTGCCTTTTGAATTAAAAGTAAGTAGTGAATCATGAACTGGAAAAACCCGTTTTGTGTTAATATACATAAGAGAATAGGATGGCATAACCAACTTTGACTAATCTAATAAAACTGTTTTCAAGGTTTATTTCGCTTTTGATGTAATTTTTGAGAGAGAATTGTTAGGAATGAGGTGGATAACCCAGTTATTAAAAATCACTCTCCTGAGAATTTGTGACTTATTCACAAAGGTGGAAGAAACAGTTCATACTCAGTAATTTATATCCCATATCAAACTATTATGAGTAAAATATTGGAGAACTGCTATGCATACAAATTATGCCTAATTTAAAAAAAATTATACTATATTATATGTCGGGCTCTGCTTTTGTTCCTGCTGCTCAGAAAGGGAAATCCTATCCCATTTGTTTTCTTCCTTTACTATATTTCTCTTTCATATACATTTTTTATGAAAAGTTAAGTAAAGTAATTTGAAAACATTTTTCATATAAATATGATATGTTACACATTTTTATGTTCTATTTTCCTTTTCACCAAAGGACTTGAGATGTGTTGATATGGTGCTACTTAAAAATAAACCATGGCATTGTTTGTCATGAGCATAGAACTATGTGCTTCTTAAGGTGCTGGGTTGTGTCTTCCCTTCTGTTTCACTGATCTCTTGAAAGAAGATGGTACATACAGAGGGTTTACTGTAGAGGTCAGTCATGGTAGAGTTGGTGATCCTGAACATCACTGACAGTGTAGGGTTGAATTCAAGGCCTGAACTGGGTCCTGTAGAACCCCAAACAGCATTAAATTGACTACCTCTTTAATCCTGGCTTTTTAATTTGTCAAATGAAGAAAACAGTTCTTACTAAATTGGTTCTGTAGTCTTGTGAGGATGCGGGGATTAACACTGGATGCCAATATAATCTGCCTTTCCTATAATAGAAGTGTATCAAGTCTTATTTACAATATGTATCTTCATCTGCAAAAGGGTAATGATAATGGAATTGGTCTCAGTGTGTTTTTGTAACTATTATAAAAGAAACCTAAATAGGTACTTAACACAGTGCTTGATTCAGAACAAGTATTCATTCATTCAACAAGTGTTTATTGTTTATCACATTCCAGGTGGTTTTCTAGTTGCTTGGGCTAAATGAATAGAGCCAACATTGTCATCTTATTTATCAGTTTGTAATGATGAGAAAGATAGAATGAAATCATTAGATCATAATGTAAAACTGCTATGATAAATGCTGTGAAATAAAGATGCTGGTACAGAATAATGTCAGGGAAGGTGAATTCTAATTAGACAAAGGCTGGAGACAGGAGAGATTGGATTCTAGGCAGAAAGAAGAGAATGTGCAAAGTCTATATTTTAGGAGTGATGCGTGATTATAGTACAGGAAGTGAAAGAGAAGATAGTTTAGGATCTAGATGGAAAAAAAGGAATGCTAGTAGGCACTTGGATTGGTTTGGTGTTCCACCAGGGAGCCAGAACCTCAGAAAATGATGTAGAATAAGAAATTTATTACAGAGATTGGAAGATGCCTACAGAGGACTTGTGTTTCTGTGTCTGGTGGTGAATACAGGGTTGGTATGAACTGGACCCCACAAGAACAAAGCCAAAATCTGTATCAAACTCTTTGTTTGACTTTTGCGACCCTGGAATCAATCTCTTCTTTCTTCTAGTGTCTCTAATGATACATATCACCACCTTTTTTTTTTTTTTTAACAGTTTAGGGACAATATATTTATTTATTTTTTGTCTTTTTCATTTTTATCGGTACCAGGGATTGAACTCACGACCACACACTTGCAAGGCAGGCGCTTATCGCTGAGCTAAATCCCCAGCCCCAGGGACAATATATTTAGAGTAAACGGTACAAATCTTAACGAATCAGTTTAAATATACCTGTGTAAGCATCACCCAGGTTAAGACGTAGTACACTTTAAGCAAGCATACTTCATGACTCTTCTCTCGTTAAAGAGTGTGGAGAAAATTAGAAGAGAAGCTACAGATGGGGAGAAAAGTACCCGCAAGATACATCTGACAGAGAGCTGTTGTCAAAAATAAGTAAAGAGGAGCCAGGTGTGGCTCATACCTGTAGCCACATACCTGTAGTCCCAGCACTTGGGAGGCTGAGGCAGGAGAATCACTGTGAGTTCAAGGCTACTCTGAACTGCATAGGGAGAACCTGCGTCAAAAAGGCAAGAAAAAAAAAAAAAGATAAAGAACTATTAAAACCTAATAATTAGAAAATAAGCATTCAATTAAAATCTAGGTCGAAGACTAACAAATATCAAAGAAGATACATAGAGGACATATTTGCTAATGAGATGCTGTACAATGTGTGTCAATAGGAATTTGTAAATCAGAATGAAATCCTGCTACATACTTCGTGGAATGGGCAGAATGCAAAGCACTGATAATATGAAATATTGATGAGGATGCGGAGCAATGAGAACAACATGTATTTTATGGTGAGTGACAGTAAAAATAATGTGACTACTTTGGAGGAGTCACTACTTTGGAATCAGTTACTTGGAAGCTGTCAAACACATTTATACCCTACCCATTCTTGAGATAGCCTATTAACCTATTAACTTATAATCCACTATTTGCATGAATGTATTAATCATTCATGAGGGCAGTGCCCTAACCACCTCATAACAGTTCCACCTGCTCTTATCTGTAATATCTTGTAACGGGGATTACATTTAGGGGTGTGGCTGAGTAATGTCCTCAGAACCTTGCCCACATCCCTTGTACATTAGCACTTCATAATAGTGTCCCTGCTCCCCACTGCCTGCTAGGATCTTTGCTTGAGTGCTTCTATGGACTCTCCTGGAAGCTTTGGGACTGGGGCCTTTTCTTTCCTTTCTAGGCTGCCTCTTACTACCAGGTTACCTGCCTCTCCAGGCTCCCCATCCTGGCCCCAGAAGATGAAAGGGCCATCACATTAGCCCACATGTACAGTAGTCTTCAACAGCTGACCCACTAAAGCTGTATGTTTTACACTGGTTCTCCCAAGTTTCCTCAGAGATTGTTTTGGCTTGCGTTTAGGTGTCTCCAAAGCCTCATGTGGTCATAAGGTGTTTTTGAGAGGTGACTAGAGTGAGTGGTGCTGGTATTAAGGGTATGTGATTAGTAGATGGTCCACTGATTGATCTGGCATGGTTCTGGCTATAGTTAAGGTGTGAGTGCTATATCTGTCCGAGGGAGGTTGGTCTGCTTACAATATAAGGCACAGAAAGAGTCCTCTCTTTGCGTCTCTCTGTCTCTCCCCCACTCCTTTCTCCTGGCTTCTTTGTCTCCCCCTCCCTCCCCCTGCCTCTTCTTCTCCCTCTCTCCTTCCCTCTCCCTCACTCTTCTTCTCTTTTTCTCTCTCTGTCTCATTGCTTTGCCACCTTCTGGCTGCCATAACTTGCTTCCTGCTGTTACTTTTGCTGTCCCCCACCACTGTGAACTGTTTGCCCTTTTGCCAAGCCTCCTTGCCTTGGACTCCGCTAATTGTGGATTGAACCCTCTACAAACTGGGCTAACTGAATCTTCTTTCCTTTAGCTTTTGTTGCCAGGTATTTTGTCTCACTAAGGAGAAAAGTAACTAAGACAGAGATTAAACTCCAGCTGCTCATAAAGTAGTAAGCTTTTACATCGTTTTTGGCTGCCATCCCATCCCTATCCTACTTCTCTACATTGGTTTCTGTATTTCCCCAAACTGCTGGCATATGAGTCTTCCTAAAAGGGTTTGTTTTTGGGGAACCTAAACTAATACAGACTACTAACTAAATGGTAGATAGGAGAAGAACTATAGTTCAGTTCCTTAATTTGTAAATATCTTTTAATTTTTAACTTCTTTTTAGAATTTCTACTTGGACCTGTTGTATTACTAACCTTGGACCAGGTTGTATTACTAACCTGATTTGCCAAACTAAGAATCAGAATCTCAAAAAAGACTATTTCCACACTAATTAGGAGAAGATTTCTAGGATTTTGTCTGTGTCCTTTTATTCTGTTCATGTCTGAAAGGAAAATCTTTTAAGTGAATTCAGTATGTACCGTGTGTTCCTAATTTTCTCTTACTTGGGTGTGAACAGCACCTCATACAAATATAACTTGTAACTTCACTGTTGGCTATTTTTAACATGATGATGTCAGTCTTGGCTTGAATTCCTGGAGTCCAGGATCAGTTAGTTTACATTTTGATTTACTCTGAAAGTGTTAACCTCAGAGGTGGTATAGCAAATATTCCAAGTGCTGAAATATATATAAAATACTGTGATTCACAGTCATAACCCTGTGTACCACTTAGCAGCCAGTTTCTTGAAGTCACCACATTTACTAATTATTATAAGAAGTTTTTTATTGATGCTCTCCGTGAAAATTCATGTTGGCATACAATTCATAATTGATTTCACATCTTTAGAAGATTCTAAACTTTCACACTCAAGTTGTCAGTTTTGATTGCAATAACCCATTGTTAGGCTCAGAAGACATTTCTATATTCAAGGGGAAATTGCTCTGTTGTGTACATTTCCCACATTAATAAGTAAAAAACACCAGATTCTCATTTTGAGAATTAATTTTATAGTCAAATAAATGTGTTTATATATAACTTATTATTTTTGTCATTAAAAGGAATAAAAAGAATCTTAACACTGACCCAGCTGGAAAGCAATCAGGAAAACAATCCCAATTACAATGTGTTAACTGCAGTACAATAATCTCTGAAAAGAGATTAGGATGTCAGAAAATGAAAAGGTATACCTTATTTCTTGATAGGCAAAACCAATATTATCAACCATCCATATTTCCAAAATATAATATTTACATTTAATGCAATCCCAATCAAAATACCAACAGCATTCTTCATGAAAGTAGGAAAAAAATCCTGAAATTGTTTGAAAGCAAAAGAGATCCAGAATAGCAAGAGCAGTCCAGAGCAATGCAAACCAAGCAGGAAGCATCACAGTCGTAGAATTTTTTTATATTACAAAGCTATAGTGATAAAAGCAACATGGTACTGCATAAAATATACTGATCAGTGGAATAGAATCGAGGATACAAAACAAACCCAGACACATCCAGCTGATCTTTAGCCAAGGGGTCAAAAAACATACTCTTTAACCTCTTTAACAAATAGCCTCTTTAACAAATGTTGCTGGGGAAACTGGTCATCCTTATGCAGAATATACTAAAATTAAATCAAGATAGTTCAAAGACCTAGTAATAAACGTAGACCAAGTCTGCTGGAATATAGAATAGATAAAACTCCTGAAGGCATAGGCATAGGCAAAGACTTTCTGAACAGAATCCCTTTTACACAAGGAGTAACATCACTAATCAACAAGTAGAACTGTATCAAATCAGAAAGCTTCTGTGCAGCAAAGGAAACAGCCAGCAAAGTGAAGGACAGTCTACAGAATAGGAAAAAGTTTTTCAGGCGTTCCACTGACAGAGGGCTAATGTCTAGAACACACAAAGAACTAAAAAAACAACAACAACAACAAAAAAAAAAAACAAAAAACAAACCCCAAAGACCCATTTAAAAGCTGCACACTTAAAATTAATAGACACTTCTCAACAGAGGTAGTGCAAATGACAAATGGTTAAATGAAAATGTCTTAGGTGTCTTTGGCCACTGGAAAAGTACAGATCAGAATAACATTGAGATTCCATCTTTCTCCAATAAGAATGGCTGTTAGCAAGAACTCAAAAAACAACAGATAATGGTGAGGTTGTGGGGAACAGTGAGTTTAACTCTGTAGGTGGGACTGTAGAGTAGTACAGCCTCTATGGAAATCATATAGACATTCCTCATAAAACTAAGAATAGAGTCCATTTGAACCAGCTTGATGTCTTCTGGGTATCTTCCTGAAAGCCAATGATTATGTGCATACCCATGATTATAGCTGCACAACTTGTAACGGCTAAATCTCAGAAGCAATGCTTATCAACGGATGAACAGATAAAGGAAATATCACACACACACAAATATACTGACCAATGGAACAGGATTGAGGATACAGAAGCAAATCAGCCATAAAGATAAATTTGAATCATTTGTAGGAAAATGGATGTACCTCAAGGCCATAATGCTGAGTGAAATAAATTAGACACAGTTAAATATCCAGTGGTTTCTCTTAATATAAGAATACCAAGGGTAAATAATTAAAGAGCAAAATAAAAGGTAGATGATGGGAAATATGGAGATAGACTTTGTGGAGATGGGAAAGGGCTATAAGGATGGGGCAAATTGGAGAGGAAGGGGAAGTACCATGGATTAGGATGCAGTATGTATATGTACTGATTCCCCACAGTGGATGGATTATGTGTCACAAACATTCTAACAAAAAAATTTCTTAATGCTGACAAAACACACAAGTAAATTGTATATACTTTTAAATAGAAGAATGAAGTATAAGGAAACTTCCTGTGACCATTAATGTTCATTATTCAGATTTTCACCACAATTTATTACCTTCTTTAGTGCAGGAAAATTCCATTGACTGTTACATGGCTTGACCTTATGAGCTTCTGACACTGATGCTGCTGATTGTAATGTGTGGAAATGGAAAGTGGTGGCCACATCAAGACTGCCACCTGGCTTACAGCTGACACAGTTATAGAGGGTTTTCAATGTGGATTTAACCACAAAGTAGTGTGGTTTAGAATCAAAGAAATAATGTAGTAGATGTGGATAGTCTATTATCTACTCATGTCCTCATTTCTATTTCAGAGATAAATCCTATAGCTTGTTCTTTGTATAGCTGTTCACATCCATTTCTGTGGTGATTGTCTAGTTTTTTAATTTTAGATCTTGGTTATATTTGTTGTATTTTATTCTAGAACCTTCTTCCCTAGGAAGTATTTTAAATCAGATTTTTGGTCTCCTTAAATGTAGCTGATCTTGTAGGATAATAAGTGTATTAGGGTTCTTCAGTGAGTGTGTGTGTGTGTGTGTGTGTGTGTGTGTGTAGAAAGTGAAAGAGAGAGGAAAGAAGGACGAGAATGAGTGAGAAAAAGAGGACAGGGGAGGGGAGAAGGAGGAGGGAGGAAGATTGAGAGAAAGAGGGAGAGGAAGGAGGAGGAGGAGGATAGTATAAGGAATTTAAGGAATCAGCCCTTTGAGATTGTGAAGATTTATAAATCTCAAATAGGTAGAGTAGACTGCAAGGCCAGATACTAGATACAGTTGGTATTCACTTTGAGTTCATAAACAGCCTGAAGGTAGAATTCTTTTCTGGCTGGGGGAAAGTCAGTTTTCTCTTACAGTTCCAACGGATTAGATGAGGGCCACCCACATTTTGGAGAACAATTGGCTTTACTCAGAGTCTGCAGGTTTAAATGTTAATTTCATGTACAAAGTATTTCATAGCAATATCCCCACTGGAATTTAAGAAGTATCTGAGTACTATGACACCACCAGTTGACATGTAAAATTAATCATGGCAGTGAAGTCACTTCCATTCATGATCTT